CCGTTGCTGGTCTGGGATTTGCTGGCACCAGGAGAGCTGCACCATCAGGTGCGTGCAGGCTGTTCACCCAGCTCAGACACCAGCACTAACCTCGACTTCTTGCTCTCCATGTATTAGGCAACTTCTGTGATATTTCAGTACTATCAGCGTCGCCGTTTCTTTTACGTGCATGTAAGAATGAGGAGTGTTTATGTTCTGTTAAGCTTTGTTCTGCAAACGTGATGTAGTTTTCCCAATTAAAAAAATGTCAGTAGAATTGTGAATTCATAATGTTGGACTTGTAAAAAGCACCAAGTAGTCCAGGCCTTTCACTGCAACGCCAAGCTTGGGCTTCTTATCTACACTGCTTATTTATATTATCATTATGCCTAGTGTTTTATAAAACCAAGAAGAATACAGTTGCTATTTTTTTTTTCTTAATTTACTGTCTTAAAAGACAAGTAATGCAATTAAGGTTTCTGCACTGATTAAAATCTATGTAGCAAATTCTCTTCTTATAACAGTTATGATAAGTTGCTGACAGCTAATACTAGATAGAGGGTATCTCAGGCAGCTGTACAGCTTTTATAAGACAGGAAAGCTTGCTCAAAGTACAGGCTATATAGCATCAGTTTTCTGTCTTATCTGTATCTGTTACTTTGCTCAGTAAATATACTGACTAAATATGCTGAATCTAAAATAACGTTTCAAGAAAATCACTGGAGTGAAGTGAGAGGGAGTGTGATGTATCTGCATGAAGGCTTTGAAGTAAGAATGAGACTAGAAGTCTTTTACTATGACTTATTTTTTCCTTATTTGAGATGGCTTTCTTCAATTGAGATGTAAATCATCTCAAAGTTTATTCAACTAAACCAGATCTAATTGCATATATTTATGTGAAGTACCCCTACTTTTGTTTGTTGCACTAGTTGGACACATTATCTGTATAACCCATGGATATTTCAATATGTGGGAAGAATTCACTGTATTTGTTTGTGTGTCATTCTGAAAATATAGTTTTTTTAAACAGACCTGGTGCTTTACCAGGTGTGCCTTTGAGTAATTTCTATTGCATTTATACTTCAGGAGGATTAGGAAACAGAGTAAAAGAACTCTTTGTCCATTAGATTCATTAAATGTATTCATGCGTGTGTAAATGGTATAGAGGCTGTGCTGCTCAGGAATCAGATCCTTGTCCTAGGGTGGAGAGAAAGGTGAAGGGTGTGATATTTACTGCTTGGGTAAGTGTCATAATAATTGTGTATTTGATTCTTTATTTTTAAATGACCTTCCTGGGCACAAAGCCATTTTTATGTCTTTATCTTTTCCCTGCAGAGTTGGGTAGGGTAAGGAACCACACCTTTGAAATTGTTAAAGTACAGCTGTGCAGGATGTGAGCGTGCGATGGAATGGATAGGACAGCAAAGGGGAAGACAGAAATCATACCAAAGTGATCGGAGAAGGAACAAAGTGTTGCTTATGCTAGTGATATTTTTCACCATTGAGTCTTTTTTTAAAAGCAAACAGCACAAACAAGGTATTTGTTGAAAATAAAGCCTAAGTAATTACTACGTTCTTCAAGAGAAACAGAAATTAGCACAGCTATCCTTTGGTGGTTTTGCATAGTTGTATATCAAACTTCAAAGTGCTGCAGAAGTACTTCAAGCCAGCTACTTTGTGCTTAGTTGAAATAATTACCACAGAATTAATTTGAAAAATGCCTGTTGCAATAACGCATTTCCTGTGCACCAATCCAGCACAAGTTATATAGTGAAGCTCTTGGAATTAAAACCTTGGATTAAACCTTAGCTCTAGTGCACAAAAGCATAAGGCCCTATAAAACTGTATCCACAGATGGAAGAAAAATGCTGTTTTACCAACTGAAATGTACTTTGAAACGTTCTATAGCTTGATCGCAAGGTACAGCACTGACAGAAATAAGGTCCTGTTACCACCTCTGGGCACCTTGCTGGGAAACCTTCCCCTGGAGAGTGTCACAGTCTGTGCAGAAAGTCGTTTGCCTAAAAACGAAAACTCCTAACATACTGTTTGCTTTGGCTTTGAGTCAGTGCTAAATGCATATACGTGTTATTGTACAGAATCCTTGTGCTTGAATATTTAGCCATTTTGCTGCCACTTAATGTACTCTCAGCATCTCAGCATTGTGCCTTTCCTTTGCCACCCCCCTCACTATGCAAATTTGGAACCCCATTGTCTGGGGCTTTTATTTTACTTCTCATTATAATACAATGCTAAGAATTCAACTTAATAAAACCATAAAATGCGTGTTTTAAGTACATTTGCCTCACTCACTGCTCTCACCATGGGAGTTGTGTGCAGACTCTAAAAATGCATATAGGTGATTGTTAGTAAGACAAACATTGTGGGACTTTAAAATACAGAGAAACATTAAGCTTTTGGTATTTGATTAGCAAGTGCAGAGTGCTTAACTCAATTTATTTTGTAACCATGATCAAGAAAGCATGTAGTTGGGCATTATGGGTACCTATGTTATGAGTGAGTTCAATAGGAGCAAATGAGATTAAATATATAAATATGTGCTTAAATTATTTCCTGCATAATTGTCAATAATATGCAATAAATCTATAAGTAATACAAGTGTGGAGCTTATAGACAGTGTAACTTAGGTAATGTGCAGAGCTCTTTAGAGCAGAACACGGTGCAGTGACATGAGAGCAAAGTCTCAGCACTGAAATGGGCTCCAAAATGTGTCCTGATGCTGATGAAGCAAAGTACACAAATTTAAATACGACAATATTTTAATTCTTTGTGTTGTGAAATAACCCACATAGATGTACTTAATGTAATTTATTAATGTGCTGCGCTGGACACATCTTTGTGGGTTACAGCTCTTTAATCTTTATTATGCATAATTCTTTGGTTTCTAAGTCTATTCAAAAATACTTTCAAAGCATCTTGGGTCTTACATTTCATATGTTTACAAGAGAAACCATTTATTTTGGTTGGGGGTGGATTCACTAATAAGGCTGCTATTCTTTGTAGTGAACATCATGTTTACAAACCACAAATAACAAAGTAGAAGCTGCAGAAGGGTTATGGTGTGATAATTAAGTACAATGGCGACCTATATGAACAGAAAATGCCAAGGAGCTAAAACAAAGCAACAACAGCTTTGTTTGTTGACAGATGCATGAGCCATATTGTTAGTTAATTGGGTAATGGTGTAAACATTTGCAAACTCTGCTGTCCCTCAGTGAATTAAGCAGCACACTGAAATTATGGTGAAAATCTGCACAGTCCTTTTGCTGCAGGTACTCCACAGTGCTTTTAACTAACCTTCTGAGCTTGAGGTCTTTGAGGAAAGAGCATCACACGCTGTTAAAATCTGAAGTACTTGAAGTTTGCAAACCTGAGGGTTCAGATTAGGATAGGGACCTTGAATTAGGATACAAATAGTAATTTTAAAAATAGAAATAAAAATACTAATAATGAATAATTATTTTCCATAAGCTTACAGTCTGGAATATTGTTTTCATTGCCTACGTTTGCTTTTCAGTGTTTTTTCATCAAATGTAGGGAAGATTTGTTTTTGTTCTCTCCTGCTTTTTCCTGCAGGAAGAGGTTGCAGGGTTTTAAAGCAGAAAGATCTAATTAGATAATGGCTTTAACTGAAAAGGAGAACTGCTTTTTTTTTTCCAGGTGCACGATACATTATGTGCAGTGAATTGCAGAGACTCCTGTTTGCCTCCCTTTCTGTGTTGGAGCGCAGTGGACTGTAGTAGAATACTAAAGCATCAAAAAATGCAACAAGATACTTAATTAGCATACTTCTGTAATCACAAACTTAAATGCACTACTTTGGCTGTTTTTTACATAACAGATTTGCTTTCTAAGATATTAACCTTTCAATAATTTAAGCGGCACCTCTGCAGGAATGCATAATTGGACTGTAGATAATAGGAATCTAAAATTGACTCCGGTGTTTTTGCAAATTATTTTTCTCTTCAGCCACTTAGCAATAGCTCCCCACACTACTAGAAGTGTAAGAAAATATGTCCCCGCTTTGGAAAACTAATTAATGAGATGCATCTGATGTATATATCAGATATGTATATATGCATCTGTCTCATATATGTATGATTTAAATTCTGTTGCAGTCAGAAAGGTGAAACTGTGTCGATTTTAATGGACGTAGGAAGTGATGGCTCTTTAAAGGTAATTCATTATTTAAGCGAGTGCAGTTATCCAGTGAAACAAGTGAGGTACAAATATATTTTAAATTTGTCTGTTTTGGGAAGGGAAGAGAAAAGGCACAGTACTGTTTCTGTCAAATGGTAACAGGAGTGGTAAATTATGCATTTAAGAAAAATATTACATTTATAATTTCGTATATTAACTCATAATCTGTTGTTTCATCGAGGCTGATTTTTTTTTTTCCAAAGAATAATTTTAGAAAGCAGTGGCGTGAAATGGTATAAACACACTTAACTCCAGGAAAAACGTCGTGAGCGTGGATTTGCCTTTATACCCACAGCATAACACTATGATCTCTCACTGGAATTCTGCTGTTCCTTCCTGCATTGTCTGCATACCTTTATAAATGCGACGAGAAGTCAAGACTCCAGTAAACAATCCTATAACATGAATGTATGCATGTAACTGTGTAAATGTAAATGATATGTAGACATATTCCACTCACACATATGCATGCATGATATATATGCACTGCAGTAGTTGGGCAGAGATGCAGTTCTGCCAGGTGGTGAGCTGATGCAGCATCTCGCTCCCAGTGGAAGGAGGAAGGTCCTGCTCTCTCCCTTCTGCTTACTGCGGAGCGCTTTTACTGCCTGCCTTGCACTGGACTTGGTGTTCAGTGGATTTCGAGTCAGTTCTACTCATTTCTCCACCATATTCTGGGAATTAGTGCTGACACCTTCCACTGTGACTGGCAGATTTCTTATAGTAAAAAATCTCAACTGTGAAGATAAGGAATTCAAAATAGTTTACTTACGTGTATCTTTTCGTTCTCGCCTTTACAGGTGACCCAGCTGGATCCAAATAAATCATTACTGGAGGTAAAACTGTACCCTCAAGAAACCCTTTTCTTAGAGGCAAAAGAATAATCAGACAAGATTGTAGGACTAATCATCTTTCGACAAGCCAGAGGCACAGCATCAAGAGGAACGCTTCATCGACGCCATCTTGTACTATCATCCAACTCAACTTAATGTCACAACTTTGCCTCTTGCAAGAATTTGAAATAACATAGCTACGTAAAGTTCCACATACATGAGTGTATGTTCCAACCTCGTCTAAATGAGCAGAGGATGAAATTCTGCTGTGAACACTGAACATTATGACTATGTTGCTCACTTATCATCCAGCTTTTGTTATAATTAATGCACTGTTAAAATGTGAGTGATTGTTAAGTAGAATTTTTACTCCTCAAATGCCCCTTTTTCACCAAGAAATCTTGGACATTTCTGCCTGTACTTTTGACACTAGAATGCTGTATATTTGATATCTCGCTGAGCCAGTGCTCTCATATATGCATTTTATCTCTGTGTTTGAATTTCTACTTTGTCACCTAATTTAAAAGGCAGAAAAAAAACCAACAAAGAAACAGGACATTCGCAGCCATGGAAATTTAACAGTATTATGGTAGAAGGCATATAATTTTTGTTAGTACTTTCTGACTTCTTTGATAAGATGTAAGGTTTTGTTTGAAGAATATAGTTTGACATATATGCGAGGTATTTATTTACTGGTTCTGCTTTGGGTCTCAGTTCTGATTCATTTAGGAAGTATTTTCCATTACATTGCAGTGTGTGAAACTGCTTATTGCATGATGTGAATATTTAAATAACATTAGAAATGGCCAGGACCGGAAAGCTGGTATCTTGCCAACGCTTCAGGAATCAGCTGTTATTGAATATCAGCTGTTAAAAACCTTTCAAATACCAGATACAAAAGTTCTTTATTTCCCGTTGAGAAAGGAATGGCAGTTCCCATTTTGGCGGTTTTCCTTCATTCGGGGCTTGTTTGTATCCTATTACTCTGTTGTTCTAAAGCACCTTGTTTGTTCCATCAAACAATGAGTATCTCAAGAGACGGTGTAGTAAGAAATCTGCCTTACTATTGCACACTTTGGACATTTTAGCAGTAGATTGCTGATCCCATCTCAAATTGAAGAAATCCGAGATCCGTTGTCTGAAATGTATGCACCAGCTACCTGCTGTCTGATGAGGAGAAATCTGGTACTTTAAGTTCCTCAACCATGGAACAAACATACTTGGTCTAAAATCAGAAAGTACACTTAATGCCAAATGTGCATCAAAACAGCTTGGTTTGGGGGGGGGTTGTTTGTTTTTGTTTTGTTTTTAAATCTGGACTTCCAGGATAGTGCAACATAGCACTGCAGAATTGTCATCTACTAACCAAACTTGTTTGGTAGTGCCTGGCACATTGTTTTCCACGTGTTTCTATGTAATACACAGTGCTTATCGTAGCAGGAGTTCTGTTTTGGAAATTTCATACTAAGCAAAGACCAACTGCATACATCTTCTAGTCTTTAGTCTTTTCTTTGGAAGGATGGTGATATAAAGTTATATGTATGCCTATTATTAGGGTGTTAGTGAAGCTCATATATTGTTACCTTTACCAAAAATATAAATTTTGGAGGAAAGCCTTATTCTACCTTTTGTAATTCTGTAATTAGTGAGTGCTACATCAGACACTTTTAGAAATGAATTATCTGTGACAAACAAAAGGTTTGGAAGTGTAAGTGAATCTTAACCATTTGCAGTTCACAAATAAAAGAATTCATAGCCAGTAGAAAGATAAATGTATGTGTAATGGAAACCTGAATGCAGATGCTTCGTTCTCAACTTCTGTTTTCTTGGTAAAAGATCCACCATTTATTAAATATGACATTAGCATGGTTGCAGATTGGGGTGGCGCTGTTTCTACAAACAATCGCAGTAACACATGCAGGAGGATTTTAAAGTGATGCATATCTTTTTTTCTTTTGTCTTCTTTCTGAGCTGCTATTGAGGAAAGGAGTTGAAATATTGCTGCAGAAGAAAAGCAACCTTTCAGCTAACTTGTTTCTGTTAACCTGTTCTGTTTAACTTCTGTTTGATCTCAGCGGGCTGTTTTCTCTCGTTCAACTTTATTTCTGTATTTTGACTTTATATTCTTTACTTTGATACTAGTTTTGTAAATTTATCAAATGTGACTTGAATATTTGTTGAACGTGTTGAAGTCAGTGCTCCCAGGTTCTGTTAGGCCTTTTTTGTTCTAAGACAAGTTTTAGGGCTTTTTTTCCCCTATTTTGTTCACATTGAAAAATACACTGTCATTATCAAAACATTGTGGTGAGAATTAACTGGAAGTGTTGAAAGTGGTGGTGTTACTGCCCTCTGGTACATAGATCAGGAGCAGTATAGAAGGTGCATTCTGCCAAAACAAGTGTATCACTCAATTTAAATAAAGCATTTATGATTTTTGTCCTTAAATACTGATTTCAAAAAGCGGGCATCTAGTCATCTCTCTAAATGACATCCTCAGTGCGAGCCATTTTCTGTGGAGAAACGTTAATATTCTCTGCCATCATTTTCTGCTCTCTTAAACCATGGAATTCACTTCATGTGCTCTGCTGACATGGTTAATGCTCTCGTCGTTCTACAGACTAATTTTCTAATTCAGCATTAACCTAAAACTGTAACGCTTTCATTGCAGAAGTTATCTCTGATTCCACCTTTTTTATCTCCAGGTTCCTCACATTAGTGGATCATCATCAATGTGATTAATGCGTTAGTTTTAAGTCTAAAGGAATGACTGTTAGTGAATGGAGTCCTGTAGGATGTGTTGGCTTTTGATATCGGCCTTCAGCGCATGATGGTGAAGCTGGGGCAGTCTTTGGCTTTTGAAGAAACTTCCTGCTGTAGACACTGCTGTTCTAAATTCCATCAGAGAACGTGCAGAGCACAGGTGCTTGTCATGTATTCTCTGCATGAGCACTCTTCAATTTAGTGAGAGTGCCGAGGGAGTTTCTAATGGAGCTACGCTGGGGGTCTGTTTATTCTTTTGAATGTAGCAGAAAAGGACTTTGGCTTTCGTAAACTGTGCGCACTCGGTAACGTTAGAAATTTAAAATAAATTTTCAATTTCAGTACTATTTCTACTAAAAACCATATGATTTCACTCTTCCGTGTGTGGAGAAAAACGAAATCATTGTGACCCGGATTCACAGAAGGACTGAAGCATTTCCTTAGTGAGCCTTGTGGTCGGACTCCTTAAATGATTCAGAGTAAGACTGAGGTTCCCTAGATGAGGTCCACAACAAAAAATGAATCAAACCAAAAACCCTTCAGAATACATGTGAAGAATCGCTGCCGGGCAGAACCAGAAAATGGTTACATGGGCTGACAGAAATGTGGAAGGTAGAGATGTCCGATGGACACTGCTATGCAGTGGAGCTGGGGGTTCCTGCTCTGTGCCAGCCCAGGGTGCCTCGTGCCACTCGGGGTCCACAGCTCAGAGGCCTTCTGTCAAGACAAGCATCGAGTCCTTTGTTCCAACGTCTAGCAGCACAAGGCACATCTTTATTTCAATAGTGGTGGTTTTTCCATCAGTCTCCCCTGAAGTTTTTAACTGAATAGTACTTGACACTGAAGTTTTCGCAGATTGTGGCCAGCATGGGCCTGGGGAGAAACAAGCCTGAATCTTCAGTGTTTCAGAAGACTGCTGTAAGTCCGCTATAGCACAGGCTGCTTCTAATGTGCAAACTCAGTCCCTGCTGTCAGAGCTGTTTGGCTGCCGAACAATGTAATTATTTAAGCTTGTTTAGAGGGGGCGTGCAAACAGGAGTCCGATGTTTCAGGAGAGTGGCTGAGGTGCTTGCCTGGGATGGGCTCTGCGGTCCTTTTCCAGAGACTGTTCATTGCAGTCCACTGCTTGGTGTGTGCATACCAGTACCAACAGAAAGCAGAAGATGAAGCAGAGAGTGAAGATGAGAGGAGCACAGAATGTTGCTGCTCCTGTTTGCACTGCTCATTTATGTTGGGTTACACAGATTGTGGGCATGAGCAAAAACTCATGGATACCCTTGCAGAATTGAGGTTTGGTTCAACACCATTCATAATTTTGAAGACATCTGTTATACCTTTGTAGTTCTCTCTTTTAACCTTTAAATTTGAGGAGCTCTGGGTTAATGTGTCTGCTTCATGTATAGGGTCAGGCTGGGTGGGGCTCTGAGCAACCTCATCAAGCAGTAGATGTCCCTGTTCATTGCAGGGAGTTGGACTAGGTGACCTCTAAGGTCCCTTCCAACTCAAATGATTCTATGATTCTCTATTTGTATGTTCTTGCCTTCCCTGTATCATTTCTAATATGTCCTACCCTGAGTGAAAAAATTTCATGCCATCTTCCAGGACAGACAGGACTTGTATCAGGAGCTTATGTGCTGTCCTAGTGACACTGGTGACATCCTTTTATTCCCAGTTCCTTCTCCAATAATTCCTTTTGCTATTTGCCCCTGCTTACTACTACACTTTCTCACATAAATATCCACAAAGAACCTACAATGTCTGTCTTAGATGTTAACATCTGTTTTAGGAGTGACACCCATCTGTAGAGTCAAGGCTATTCAGACTTCCCCAAATACACGAGCTTTACACAAGCATGTTACACAATTGCTGCATATCAAAATACTCTTAGAATGCCTTGCCATTACCTTAAATTTAGCATTCACTCTTGAATTTCAAGCAAATAAAGCAAATGGTATAAACATTTTGCTAGCCAAAGTTTGTACCTTAGTCAGGGGTTTTCTCTGTGGATTCTTAATATGTGTAATAAGGGCTGAAGTTGTGCTGCAGCCTTCATACAATTCAGTTAAAATGTCACTCAACTGCTAGTTACAAAAGTAGGCTTCATTAGTTTTTGTACTGAAAAGAAAACTACTGGTCAGCAAAATCAGTATTTTGTTCTTATTAGCAATGAATTTTGTGTCCCGTTTTCCCAACTCCGTGCTGTGACAGCGTTCCACAGTTCAGTGCTATTCATTTTTGGTCCAGTCATCTTGAGTGAATCTGTATCATTCATTCATGCCTTCACCACGCTGCCTATCGCGTTTCCCAGATGCTGTATGAGCACCTTAAATAACACAGGTCCCTACAAAGATCCCTGGGGACACCGCTGGTAACCCTTCTTGCTGTTAATCCCTGCTTTCTGCTTCCAGCTACCACTCTCTTATTTCTCTCAAGAAAAGATGTTTCCACTGCCGTAAATGTTACTGCAGACAACTAGCTCATCTTTCCTGCAATTGCCCTACTTTCATTAAGTGCTCCTTTTACACCCTGAAAATATGTGAGTCCAATTATCTTTCTGGCAGGCTTCCTATTTCTGATATTTTTAATTATCTTTTACACCTTTGGTGGTAGTTCCTCGAGGTCTGTAGGTTGTTTAGTTTTGCTTTGGTGTGTTCCAGAAGTTAATGGTCATGTTTCTTCCTTCTCTTCACGTGAGTCTGTCTTACAGTTGCCTCCTTCCCTGTGCTGGCTTATGTGGCTCAATCACTGCTGCTTAGGGGGTGGGGAAGAGAAAGGGTGAGATTCTAGAGTCTTTTACAGATTAATTGTATATGTATTCTGAAGATCTAGGACAGTATCTTCAAATACACTTATTCTTTTAACTGTGACGATTCGATTTCCCTTTAGTATCTTCCTCTTCATGTAGTTTTCTTTGATTGAAGAATTAATTCTGGTGGTTTTCTTCTTTTAAGTAAAGTACTGAATTTGAATATATTTTCATTTACCACAGAAAGTGTTTGGTGTCATTTTTATTGCTTCTGTACTTTATTTAAGCTATTCTTGCAGTCTTCATTAGCGTCACTTGGTAGCATTCATAACTACATCCTATTCCTGATCTTGCCTTCCCAAAATTTACTGAGATTGAAAACTTGTTTGAAACTTCAAGTTCTGCTTAAGCCATTTTGAGTGTTTCACTATTATTCTAATGTGCACGTAGAAACATTTCCCGTTTAGTCAGATCCATTTGCCCTTTTTATATGCCCTGATTGATTCAAACTTTCTTTGTGTAAGGAAAAGGAAGCATTTCCTAGAAGTGGTGGCAACAGAGAGAAGAGATTTTTGGACCACTGTCATAAACTGACATCTACGGAGGAACTGAAATGATTTTGGGATCTGTTTCCAAATACCCAAGGATCTTTTCAGCTTGACTTCAGGTGTTACTTCACCTTTTTTGTTTTGTTTTGTTTTTACTGTAAGTACAATCAGATAGATGCAGAGAGCTCTTACTTACTGAAAAATACTTCTGCATCTTTGTGATTTAGGCAAAGGAGAATAGCAAGGCGCTGTGTGGCTGCTGCTGTATCGTGCAATGCAGCAGGAAAATGAAATGAACTGACACTTAGAGGATCACAATTCCTTGTAAAATTTGTGCAGTTCATTTTAACTTTCAGTTTACTGTTGTTCACTGATCACATGCAAGAATGTTTTATGCACGTGAATTGAAAGCATCAAAGTATTCTCAACTGGAAAGTCTTAGTAGATGCAAAGCTTTCCCTTCTTGGTATGAGCAATTTCAAGGCAAACGTGCTGTTTACTCCTCAGACAAAATACTGCGGCAGATACCAAATTCCTTCATTGTTACCAGTATTTTAGATGTTTTCAAAGGTGGTTTTTTTTTTTCCTTCAGATAAAGTTTATTATCACATTTGACTCCTTTTCACGAGGTAATCACAGTACAGGAGATATATTTCATATCAACCAAAAAGGACCATATTCAGAAGAGGATACACTCTAACCTCTTTAACCTCTTCTCTTGAGAACTCCCAATTTTGCTTAAGAAACACCTTCCTGTTTTTATTAGTGTTTATTCAGCTCCCATTGCTGTTTGCTTCCAGAATCAAACTGATTTCCTTCTGTACAATTACCATAACTAAATCCAATATTGCTACTTTTTGTTTCTTTTTTTTTTTTTTTAGTTGAAACAAAAATGCTACTAATAACAGCAATAATTGTTGAGCAAAGAAGTGAAGTTACCACTATTTAATTCCAGTCTAGTGGCCATTTGGTGCCTGATTCATTGAGGTCAAATTTATCAAATACTATAAAGATGTAGTAAAATAATTTCCCATCAGCAGAGCACTCTCCTTAGGAGACCAATTAAACTAACTTTGCTGCATCTATGCACTCCTGGGTTTGTGAAAGGGGCTGGGCACAGCAGGACGAGAATCAAGCTCACAAATGAAGAGCAGTCAACAGAGAGATATGGAAGGAAATTGTACTGTCAAAATGCTACTGAAGAGGAAAGCATTGTTACAGAAATATTTTGCTTGATCTTTCCCTTTAGAATTCCAGTTTCTGTTGGGTATCCTCTTTGAAGAGATGGTTAAAAACATGATACAAATGAAGGTTATTTTTTTTTAAATTGCTGGCTCCTGAGAATTCTATAGCAAGGAGAAAGTGGAACTGAAAGAACTCAAAGAGTAATT